ATTGCACTCCCTCTGCCAGAGACTACAGGAGGATTCTTGCCATCTCGGTCCCAAGGCTGGCATGAATGAATCCGCCAGGTCACCTTGGAAAGAGTTCACCTAGTAGATAAGGACATGGGGCTGGGGAGAGCACGCTGCTGGCTGAAGTGGATGACACATCCTGGAGACAGATCCTTGGCATGGGATTTTGCTGAGAGCCAAGAGCTCAGCTGCGTGTTCCTTACTTACTATATTGTTTAACTGAAAGGCAGATTTCCAGAAAGAAAGAAAGAAAGAGAGTGAGAGAGCAAGCGGGAGAGAGAGAATGAGAGAATCTTCCATGCACTGTTTCACTCCCCAGATGGTCTCAATGGCCGGAACTGAGCTGATGTGTGGCCAGGAGCCAGGAACTTCCTCTGGATCTCCCACACAGGTACTGGTTTCCAAGGCTTTGGGCCATGACCACGGAACTGGATCTGAGGCAGAGCAACTGGGAGTTGAACCAACACCCAAATGGGATTCCAACACTAGGAGATGGAGGGTTAGCCTGCTGAGCGATAGCACCGGCTTCTGCTTGTATATTCCTTTGTCCATTTCAAGAACCTGGATTCTACACCAGCAGGGAGGGGTCATGTCATGCATCATTGGTATTTATTTTGTTTCAGAGAGCTAAATTAACTTTTATAGAAGTAAGCATATTTTTGGTTGTGCTCTTTCCACTGTTAGAAAAACACTCTGAGTTTCTTTCTCTCTCTGTTCCTATGAAGCCCAGAGGGAATGGAAGAATGACATCACTTTTCATATGTGTGGGTACCTTCCAGAATTTTCTTTAAATGCCCCCATGTGCAAATATGGTGAAAATGAACAATTCTGGCCAACTGTGTGCACATTTCACCATGGATGCTGGGTGCAAGAAGGACTGGCTTTGCAACGTGCTTCTCTGTAAACTGGCACCATTGCTCTAAGGTGTCTGGGTAACAGGCCAGTTTCTTAAGTGATTTAAACATATGGAGTTCAGATTTTCCGGGCGCTTTCACTTTTAGAACTGACTTACAGGGAAGAGCAGCTGCCCATGCTGGACTGAGAGGCATGGAGGAAGTACCCTGGCTTTCTTTGTTAGCCACCCCAGTGCCCGCAAAGTTCACTTGCTTGCAGAGACCTCATCTTTTCCACTTTGTTGTGTCGCCTAACAGTAAGAGAGACACTTCAGGAAGGGCGACAGGCTTGGTGGCCAGGTAACAGGTAAAGATGCAGAGAGTCAGTTTGTGTTGTTCACTCATGCTGGCTGCAGGGAAAATATTTTCGGTGCACAATGTGCAGTGGTGACATGGCCCCAGCCATGGCAGTGGTGACATGGCCACAGCCTGATCCCTGTTGCTCCCTTCAGCTGGCTTCACTTTGACCTTGCACCTGTTACAAAGACAGACCTCATGGGAACCCAGCCCAGGCCACCTCACCCATCCCTGCTCCTAACTGGGAATGTGGGTTTGTTTTTTTTTTCTCTCGAAATGGGTGTGATTTGTCACCTGCACAGGAAAAAACCTTCATCAAGAATAACACTGAGTGAAGTAAAAATGATCCCCAGCTTTTAAGGAAGCTGCTTGCCTCAGGTTACCCCGTCTCCCTCCTCGGCTCGGTCCTGCGCAGGGGGTTGTGCACACCTCTCTTGCGTGTTTCCTTCCCCCAGCCAGGAGCTCAGCGGCGGAGAGCTTAGCTGCCGTCCCACGAGGCTAGGCAGAGCACAGTCAGACAGTGAGGCCAGTGACACAGGAGAAGCTGAGCTGGTGGAACTGGGGCGGCAAGGGGGATGAAAAAAGCCTACCGCAGGTCGAGCCAGAGGAAGCTGGGCTGGCCCCAGGGCTCTGTCCACTTCCGGGTCGTCTTTGAGTCACACCTTCTTTGTTTACAACCTGGAAATGATGATGGTGCCTGCCTAAGACTCCTCCGCGAAGGAGCTGAAGTTATGAATAGAAAAATCAGTACGGTCACTAGCAAGTCACTGCCATGCGACACGAGGGACTTCCCTTTCCAAACACGGCATGAGGAGTAATATTGGACAATAAGGACTTTCTCAGTCCGCTCATCTGCCACGGACAGAGCTGACGAGGGGCGGAGCAGGGAATTCAGGGGGAGCGAGGTCACTGGTTGGCCAGGATTTTTCTGTTCTGTCTTTGTCATATGTTTTTCAGTGCCAGCCACTTCCTGGTGTAAGAGCAAGTAGGAAACTCCATAAGGAGGTGCTTGGTAAACAGGAGACAAGGGCAATTTGGGAGTTTCTTTCCCTCATCTGCTGATAAAAACCTAACAAAAAGATTTGACCCTGTTCCTTGGGTTCCCTGGATGTTCTTCCCCCTTTTGGATGGTGCTGATAAAGTAATAAATCTCTCTAAACTTCGTTCTCTGTGCTGGCCACTCTGTCTGGGGCCAGCACATTCTTTTGCCACATGTGTTAATATCACTGCCTTCAGATCTGTCAAAATGAAGAATCGCTTGGCTCTCTGTGCCAGACCTGAGCTGATACTCCACTGCAGAGAGGCCAACCTCTTTTGGCACCTAACCACAGGAACCAGAGAGTCCGCAGCTCGTGTGGGCCCTGAGTTGTTCCCTGCCCCGTGGTTCCGTGTTGGGAGCACGCATGGCTGTCGTCGCTCAGCCTGAACTCGGGGTGGCCAGGGTGTGCAGTGTCCAGCATTAGACATGACAGGGAGGGGAAGCCTTAGTGCTGGGCCCCAGGCCTGAGATCACCAATCAACTTCCCTAAGGATGGATTGTGGTCTCGTGATAAAAACAGATTCAGGACTTTGCCCAAGGTACAAACTGCTTAAAATCCACTGGCAGTGTACACTTAGCAGAACTTTCTTCTGGGAAGCCCAATGGCCATGGTTTGGTTTGGTTTTGATTTTTTAAAATGTGCAGAAAACATACATGCCTCTTACAAAACAGCACACTAAATATGAATCCTGGGGAAAAACGAAAATCAAAGCCATATGTAGCCTCTTGGCTTGGAGGACATGCAGGTGCCCCCTGAGCTGGGTGCTGTCCTCGGTTGCATTCTGCATCCAAGGTCACTAGTTCATAAAGGAAGACAGGTGCACGGTGAGTGACAACCAGCGTGTCCCTTCCCAAGGCCTTCCTGGTCATCCTCACCATCTTCCCTGAAGAAGGGTGACTTTGGAGGGGTGAACCTCAGGTCTGCAGATACTCAAGAATCTGGAATACCACATCCCAATGAGAAGGTTGGCAGGGACTTCAAAAGCTTTCCAGATATGGAATTAAATGCTATATTTATTTTGGTGCAAAAACATCTTGCAATGCATGCATTTTTTTTTTCATTTTCCGTAACACTCATTTACTCTGTGCTTTCTAGAGGTTCCTCCCAGGCATGGATTCCAAAGGCTTTCTGTGCCAAAGCACACTTATCTTCCAATTCCATGAAGGTTCTGAAGAGCTTTTCAGATCCCAATTTAAAAATTAATAAATTATCTCAATGAAATTGGTTTCACTTATTGCGGCCAAGACTTTTTTTAAAGCCTTACTATGATTATTTCGCTTTGAGGCATGTTCTGAAAAGTGCATAAGCTTCAGGGAACTGCCAGAAAGATCCCTGGCCCTGAAAAGCGCAGTCCCCATGGCTGTGGCTGTGGCTGGCTGTGGCTGTCTGTGGCTGTCTGTGGCTGTGGCTGTTCCTGGCTGTGACTGTGGCTGTAGCTGGCTGTGACTGTGGCTGTAGCTGGCTGTGGCTGTGGCTGGCTGTGGCTGTAGCTGGCTGTGGCTGTGGCTGGCTGTGGCTGTGGCTGGCTGTGGCTGTGGCTGGCTGTGGCTGTGGCTGTGGCTGGCTGTGACTGTGGCTGTGGCTGGCTGTGGCTGTAGCTGGCTGTGGCTGTGGCTGGCTGTGGCTGTGGCTGGCTGTTGCTGTGGCTGGCTGTGGCTGGCTGTGGCTGTGGCTGGCTGTGACTGTGGCTGTGGCTGGCTGTGGCTGTGGCTGGCTGTGGCTGTGGCTGGCTGTGGCTGTGGCTGTGGCTGGCTGTGACTGTGGCTGCGGCTGGCTGTGACTGTGGCTGTGGCTGGCTGTGGCTGTAGCTGACTGTGGCTGTGGCTGTAGCTGGCTGTGACTGTGGCTGTAGCTGGCTGTGGCTGTGGCTGGCTGTGGCTGTGGCTGGCTGTTGCTGTGGCTGGCTGTGGCTGGCTGTGGCTGTGGCTGTGGCTGGCTGTGGCTGTGGCTGGCTGTGGCTGTAGCTGGCTGTGGCTGTGGCTGGCTGTGGCTGTAGCTGGCTGTGGCTGTGGCTGGCTGTGGCTGTGGCTGTGGCTGGCTGTGGCTGTGGCTGTGGCTGGCTGTGACTGTGGCTGCGGCTGGCTGTGACTGTGGCTGTGGCTGGCTGTGGCTGTAGCTGACTGTGGCTGTGGCTGGGCCTGGCTGTGGCTGGCTGTGGCTGTGCTCTCCAGCACATCTCCTCGCATGTTCTGCCATTTGCTTCATTTGGGGTACCCACTCCTCGGTGTTTGTCTCTCCACTCTGGACTTGGCCTGGGCTGTCTTTCCCACTCTCCATCTGCCAAGCGCTGTGACTGTGTATCCTTGTGAAAGTGCCGGACTTTCACTATAGTTATCGATGTCACTCACAATGGACATTTTCTTTATATTTACTGCAATTTTTGTGGATCAAATCCTACATGTCAGCTACCACATAGCCAAAGAGGATGAAAGGTCATTTTTTTTCTTTTTTAAATCACCACCCTTTATCGCCTCCACTTGCAGGTCAGCTGTGGATATGTGTGTTATAACCTCTCCTTCTGTCTCCACCCCTCCACAGATCTTGCAGACATCTAAGGTCTCATGGGGACTTTCCAACATCCCAGACTGCAGCCTACAATGATGCTCTGAGTCACCGTCTTTGGGCCAAGGCGCTGGCAGCCATTTGGAACCCCAGGACGGCCGACCTCGCTAACCTCCTGAACACGCAGGAGCCTAGTGTGAGTCTGGCCTGAAGTCAGGGCACACACTGGAGAAAGCCTGCTTTGTTCATGGAAAGAGGAAAGGAGACAAGGACTTCCAGTGACTTGCAGCAAGCTTTCCACCATCGGAAGGAGCCCACCTTCCTTATCAGCCATGCCAGCCCTTGCCCAGTGACACGGTATGTCGATTCTGGTGAAAAAGCTGAGACACAGCTTTCGAAAGCTCGGCCTGGCACTGTGATCGTGTCCAGAGCATCAGGCAAGGGGATGAGGTCAGCAGGCCAACCCAGTCCCCCGGTCATCCCAGCCCGTAGGCCAGCCTTCCGGGTCTGCTACATCTGCGGCCGAGAATTCGGCTCCCAATCCCTGGCCATCCACGAGCCTCAGTGCCTGGAGAAGTGGCATACAGAGAACAACAAGTTACCCAAGCACCTTAGGAGGCCGGAACCTTCCAAGCCACAGCCTCTGGGCAGCAGCGGCACCTACAGCCTCCAGGAGGCCCCCGAGGCTGTCTTCCAGGGTACCCAGACTCAGCTGGCACCCTGCGAGGTGTGCGGCCGCACCTTCCTGCCCGATCGCCTCCTGGTTCACCAGAAAAGCTGTAGGCTGAAGGCTGAGGGTCCCAGAGCACCTTCTGATGACCTTCCTGGTATCAGGAAAGCCTCTGGTGGAGTCTCTGCCCGCCCCAGGACTCGCCCATGCTACATCTGCGGTAGGGAGTTTGGGAGCCTGTCACTTCCTATCCATGAGCCAAAATGCCTGGAGAAGTGGAAGATAGCAAATGAGCAGCTGCCCAGGGAGCTCCGCCAGCCGCTCCTGCAGAAGCCTCAACCCCTTCTGTCTGGACTGGCCAGCCACGAGGGGCCAAGTCCAGTGCCGCTTGCGCCCTGCCCTTACTGCCACCGGACCTTTGTCCCAGACCGTCTTCTGGTGCACCTGAGAAGTTGTGCAGCTCAACTGAGCAGGACCAAAGGGCAGAGCCCATCTCTAGGGGCTCAGAGTGGCCTCCAGGAGGCCACTGGTGTCGAGCAGCATGGCAGTAGGACTGCACCTCGTGTGATGGATAAGGTAACGGGCATCATGGGAGGTGCATTGGTTGTGCCGGGATCTGTGCCACCACCGAGGGAGTGAGAGCAAAATGTCCCCAGAACCAGTCACTCCAGTCCCTCATGTAGTCTGTGATTTGTGGCAAATGTGAACAGCCAGGCCTCTCTAGAAAGATCCTTGCTGTTGGGTTCATCTCCCCCCGAGGGGCTCCTTTCTCCCTGGCACCCTTGTCCTAGTGATTCCTGGGAGAGACTGTTGTTAAAAATGACTCATAGTGCTGTGTCTACATTACACAGATCTAAGTCCCTCTTCCAACAGCCAATATTTATTGCTGGTTTATTTTAGGCATCTACCTTAGGAATTCATTTCTGGCAATGCTGGCTAATGCTGAGTTTATCTTACCAAAATAGAATCTGTGTCAAAAACCCCAAATGACTCCAGCAAGAATGAAACACTGGCGTACTTGTAGACATGCATACACTCTGCGCAGGCAGCAGATGGTATTCAGATACTTGTATGGTGGTGGTAAGTGGGGCATGAGCCCCTGAGTAGCGTCTGAGGTGATAAGATGTGTGTTCCTGGCTCTGCGCACTGCTGTGTTCCCATCTCTACCCTCTACCCTGTGTTTCGGCTCCACCCAGGGTTCTGATCCTCTCCTTGAGTCAACTCTAAAAGAACATGAACCTATAAGGTAGAGAATTGCGAGGCTGTTCCCAAGGGTGCCGCCATGCAGCGGGACTGGGAAGGGGTGGCTTTGAGGGCAGCTGGCTGCAGGGTCAAGTGTGGCCTGTGCTCTTTGTCCTGCTACTAAACCAAGGAGCCCTGTCTCGTGCCATGCCTGACCGAGAGGTATAGGAGATAGAGGTGGCAAAAGTCTGTGACTGCATCTGGAAATGCCAGGAAACGGGGAGGGACTCTTTCAGTAGACTGTTGTGGGGACACAAAGGCTGCCCAAGCTCCTGCAGCAGATTCAGCCAGAGTTGGACGTGGCCACCTTTATTTTTAACCCATTGTTTCTCCCTGTTTATTTTTTTCTGAGTTGGAGGGTAGTCCAGTCCTTTTCGGATTTCCATGATTCAAAGGAAGTGATTGTGGACTCCCCGGTTTAGAAGATTCCGAGACAATGATTCTGATGGTGGAGTCAGGGCGACGGATGCTGTACAACTTTTCCGATGATCACAGAAGAAAAAGAACTGACGGTTTTTCTGCCTAGTAAAAACCCGCACTCTGCAGTGTAGCGTGGGCTCCGAGCTGGTCTTGTAAACATGATCTGTTTTTCCCATCTCCTGGCCCTGGCTTTTCTTCCAGAAAGTGTGAGGTCTGAGTAAGAAGATCTGCATCTCAGGGCCCCCGCTAGGAAGCCGTGTTCCCCTCTCTGACTCCCAGCCCTGCATCTTGGTTGTGTGTGCGTTGATCTGCCACATATTTAAAGATAGGGAAGCGTGGCCGCAAGTGAATCTCGTGCTTGTTGTTGCAACGCATAGTTTGTGCTCCCAGAGTGAAGCCAGCAGGCCTAGCACAGTCTGTTCTCCCTGGGTCTCGGCAAAGGCGGCATGCAGAGACTGGCTGGCCTGCAGCAGCCTGGGAAGACACCTTGCTGACTCACCCTGGTGGTGTCTGCAGCTGGGGAGGGCCCCTGGATGACCTGAGCATTTGGATGAGGACGAGGAGAGGCCATTAAGACAGGACACGGCTTTGTCAGATTCTACCCAGCCCTGATCCCGGGCCCAAACGCCCTTGTGTTGGTGGGAAACTGGCACACACACACCCTCCCAGCACCACCAGATGTGTGCACACACCTTTTGGGACCACACAGGTTGTCGTGGAGGGCAGAAGAGGTCATCCAAGATAGGGTGCCTCTAGCAGCCAAATTTCAAACAAGCTTGGGTTCATCATAATGGAAAAATCGGCTAGACTGCAAGAGGAGACCCATGGGAGACATCTGGTTTGCAATGTGCTTTTTAGCAGAAAGTGGTTTCTCCAAACACCCACTCCCTTTTTGTTGACATTCATTTCCATCCATGGATGCGTTTCTTCTTGGCTTTGTTGAAGATTCAGCTGGTACCATCAATTATGCGCCTCAGGTGTCAGCTTTGCTTCCTTTCCTGTTAGTTGCGCCGTTCTCAGACTCCGTGAGCTGATTTGAGGTCAGAATCAGGTATCTCGCCTGATGTTCTCCAACAGATGAGGGAGACACTTCCAGAGCCATGATCACAGCCCCTGGGAAATACTTCATTCCAGGCATGGGGTATGGACTGTTGGGCAGCATTCTCCCTCCACTCAGCCTGTCCCCCAAGCCCTGGTGTCGCAGGTGTCACGGGTGTCCAGGTGGGAAAGGTGCCGCCGCTCTCCCTCCGCCCGCTCTGAACACAGACACCTGCGGGCCAGATCTTCTTCCTCCAGTATCTCCATGGCTGCCATGCCTTGCCCTGTGTCCTTGCCTTGGATTATTCCTGGCTCCTCGCAAGCAGAGGAAGGCAGAGAGGGCTGAACTGGCTTCTCCTCATCTTGCAGGCACCTCATGCGAGGGAGCTTTCTGTTGAGAAGGTGTGACTGCCCTGGGCCTATTGCCCTGCCATTGCTGGGGGTAGGGTGCAGCAGTGAGCACCCCTTCTCTCCTAGAGCAAGCAATGCGGCGGTGAGCTAGGGTTGATGGCACAAGCTTTTGCAAGTGATGTTAATTCTAGGTGAAATTCTGACAACTCATAAGATACAAATACTCTCCTGAGTATCGTTTTAAATTCTCAATGTTGTGTCTATTTTCTGAGAGATTCCTACGTTTGCTGAGGAACACTTGTGTAACAGTAGGGGTCATACTGTCCCTTAAGCTAACCGGAACCGATAAACATGACCATTCTGCTTTCCTTTCTGGCCGTAATGTCCTTTCCGCAAAGCTGATGGTCATTTGTTCAGATGGACAGCCCAGTTGGTACAGGTAAAATACAGGAGTATTTAGAAAAATTCAAGGAAAATAAAATTCAAAGTAGCCTGGTATAACCATACATCAAAATGAAGCCATTCTATAACAGCCTTTTCTTATCAGTTAAGGGGACAGTTGGGGTTTTTTTTTGGAATTTTACCTATGAAATGGTATTATTAGAATCCTGACCTTTCCTTAGAGGAAACTGTTCTTTTTCCATGCACTGGTTTTTCCATCCGCACGGCCAGGGGGTGGGCTTCCTCCTGGTCTTTCCCATGGGTGCAGGTCCCCACGTCTTTAGACCACCCTCTGCTGCTTCCCCGGGCGTATTAACAGGGAGCTGGATGGGAAGTGGAGCAGCTGGAACTCAAAACTGTACTCTTATGGGATGCCAAAATCAGAGGTGGCGGTGTGACCTGCTACATCACAATGCTAGCCCCAAGAAACTGTTTTTTCTAGAAATGATTATGTCTCCGAATGTAATTTTGTGCAACTTTTGGCCTCCTCACTTAAAATTTTCATTTTTTTTTCCATAAAGACATGTTAGATGTTTGGGGAGATAGATACATTTACACGGATTGCACATTATACTGTGTATATGTGCACTGAAACATTACACAGTACTCCACAAGTTTGCAGTTTTTATGTGTCTGTTTAAAAAATCTAAGTAGGGGCCAGTACAATGGCGTTGTAAGCCAATCCTTAGCCTGCCATGCCAGCATCCCATACAGGTGCAGGTTTGCATCCTGGTGCTCTGCTTCCGACCCAGCTCTCTGCTCATGCCCTCGGGAGTGCAAGGAAGACAGCCTAAGTCCTAGGGCCCTGCATCTGTGTGGGTGACAGGAAGAATCCCCAGGCTCTCGGCTTCAGCTCAGCTCAGCTCTGGCCATTGCAGCCATCGGGGGTGTGAGCCAGAGGATGGTAGAGTTTTCTCTCTGCCTCTCCTCTATCTCTGTAAAATCTGCCTTTCCAATAAAAGTAAAATATATCTTTAAAAAATTAAGTAAAACATCTCCATTGACATGTAAGGAAAATAAACAGCTCAGGTTTGAACTAAAACTCTTCAACCACATCTCTTGCATCTGGTGCTGCCCCCTGGTGTTTTAAAAGAATATCTCCTGTCAAGTATATCTGAGTACTTTGGGGTTCCTAATTACAGCTGGAAAGGCATCCTTTTAATACAAATTCCAGTCATTCAGACTGTCGATATGGATTCGGGTCAAAGCTGTTTGATTCAAAGCCTCATAGACCATCCCAGAAACACCACACTTCTTAATACTGTTTATTGCATTCACATTAAGTTTCAGCATGATTTTGGCTGGCACACTGTCATTTTAACCATGGCACATTACCTATAAGTTCTCATTTTGATGTTCATTGTGTTAATATGAGATAGATATTTTCCATATTTACCAAGCAGAGAAATTGAAGTTAAGCAATTTGCCCAGGATCACACATTGGGTTTCCAAGAGTATAACAAAGCCAAATCTGCCTAATTTCAAAGAATCATGTTGACTTTTTCAGGTCACTATTAGATGACCTTGCCAAGCTGGTTGTGTTAGGACAAAGAGGCAAGAAGTTTTATTTTTTAACTCACTAATATTTATTGTTAGGCACTGAACTGGGTGTTAAGTAAGTAATCAAAAATAAATGGACATCAGCTCTTGACCTCATGGAGACTTTACCCTGAGACAGGCAATTTTATTAAATGAAAATAATACATACAGTATCCAACTATGACCGGGCAATGTAAAATGGTGCAGGTAGACATTTGGGATCTTGGTTAACAAAAATCTGAGGTTGAGTACAGTTCAGCTGAGACAGGAAAGTGTGTAAACATCACCCAAGAGTGAAGACAAGGAGGAAGGGAGGCAGGAGGTGGGGCTTGCAGGCCAGGGGTGGCAGATGTGAAAGCCCTGGGGTAAGAAAGATCTGATGATGAAACTGACAAAACCCACCTGTGGCCAGAGCCGACGAGCACCTGTGCTGGTACGCAAACGGGAAGTGTAGAGGCAACACAGGGACACAGGGGCCTTGGTGGTTTGATGGGAACCCAGGTGAGGATAGAGAACTTGGCCTGAACACTGGAAGCAGAGATGGAGAAAAGGTTCAAGGGGCAGATTGTGGTGCTTCTGGGACTTGCAAGGGTAAAGAATGGGTTAAGGATGACTCCTTGGACTTGGAGAGGTAAAGAAGGGGTGGAGGATGACTCCAAGGGTTTTGGCTTGATTGTGCATTTTTTTTAAGATGGAAAAGACTTGAGGAAGGGTAGCTTTTGGAGTTTTGACCAATAATTTCATTCCAAACATAGGACATTCATAATGTGGTATTTCATGAGATATTTAAGTTATGTGGCCTGTGGGGGCATGGAATTTGAAAGAGAGGACTGAAATGGGATATGAACTTGTGTGCTATTAATATATGATTAATCAGGTTGAATACTGGGTTATTAGGACAACAGACTCACTGCTGAATCCTAAGGTATTAGAACATGTAGGTAATTGTAGAGGAGCTAACGAGAGGAACTTGAAACTTGAGGGAAAAAGGCCTGGAGAGTGTGAGACCGTGATGCCAAGATCAGAGCCAACATGAGAATTTAGTGTGAGGAGAACTAGAAGGCTGAATAGAATGAGGATCAAACTTGGGGCTCGTGTTGTGGGACAGAAGGTTAAGCCACTGTGAGCACAGCTTGGATTTTCATTCCCAACCCAGCTCTCTGCTTGTGCGCCTGGAAAAGCAACAGATATGATGGACCACCCACCTGGGAGACCTGGATGGAATTTCTGCCTCCTGGCTTTAGCTTGGCCCAGCCTCAGCGGTTGTAGCCATTTGAACCAGAAGATTAAAGATCTCTCTGTATCTCTAGACCGCTCCATCTCTCTCTGCAACTCTGCCTTTCAAGTGGGGAAAAAAAAGTTTAAAAAAGGAATAAAAATCAAGACAGACCTGCTTGATTGGGCAACGAAGACATAATTGCTAACCTTGGAAAGAACACATTCAGGTGTAGCAGTGGGGGGGGGGTGTAAAGTGTATGGGCAATAATATAGGATGTGTTTTGAGAATTTTGACTTCAAGACTAGGAAAGAAAGAGTGGATAGGTTAGCAATAGAGACATCAGGCCCAACAGGGATTCCTCTAAAATATGGGAGCTTCTAGACTTTCAGTGCCTAGGCTAAACATTTAGTGAGGCAGTGTAGAGGAAGAGGCTGTATAAGCATGAAGAAGAGTCAGGCAGAGCACAAAATCATGAATAGAAGCAAGCAGCAGGGTCCTGGGGGTCCTTGGACAGGTGGGACCATTCTTAGTTTCAGGAGGATGTTGAATATGGATGGAGGCCAGGTTGCCCATTAGGAGTGGGAAGGCAAAGCAGGTTAGCTTATGTTACATTTCCTGATGAGATATCGGGCAAGAAACGGCAGAGTTTACATAGAAAAAGGTGATTTTTCAAAGAAATTTCTTAGTCCTTTGTCTCTTCTTGTCTTCTTTTAGATGTAGTGTTTGTAGTCAAGTGTCTGGAATTCCCAAATACCAGAATCACATGGATGACTTTGGAGGTTGTTAGTTTTGAGTGATAACCTGGAGCCCACCAAGGCCCATGGGTTACAGGCCTGATCCCCAGAGTATTACCCTAAGATTGTGTTTGAAAGTGAGACTTTGAAACGTGATTAGAATGGGTTCAATTTTTGGTATGGCACGCTGTGATCTGACCACAGAGGCTTCCCTAGGAGAGCCTGATGGTCCCTGCCTTTCTATCTCTCTTGGCTTCCTGGCCTGCCATGCTATTGTGTGTGATTCTCTCTCTATCCATTGCCATCCACCACCCTCCTCAGACGCCAGAAAAGTGGGGTCACCCACTGTTGAGTGAAGAACCTTGAAAACTGTCGATGGAAGCAAACCTTCTCCCTTCATAAACAGCTTCCATCACATATTTGTTATAGTTAGAAAAAGCTGATAGGCAGGTGGTAGCTAGAACGTGCCATGGGACCCCATTTGGGGCTCTTACCTTTCATTATCTTCAGTAGCACCAGTGCGCCTCCTCAGCTGCGCTGATGTCATGAAAACCATCCTTGACCTCACAAACTGCCCTCTGTTGATGCTGACAGCTGGACAGGTGATGTCCACTGCCCTGGGCCATTTCTTCACCTTTCTTGGGGCCAACCATCCTGCATATCATGGCAGCTGTCTAGGATCCCATGGCTCTCAGGTGTCCAAGGCACGGCAAGAAGGTAAAGGATCCTTTCTCTTAGACGCTGTTGATGCCAGAAGTCAATCTCAAATCTGTGCGTGTGTGTTCCACGGGTGGAGTATGTGGGCGATGAAAGTAGAGTCATTGGTAAATAATTTCCTCTTACAAAAATGAGAAGGATAATATTCATCTGTACAAGTGTTGACCTAACCAAAAAGAGTTTTAAAACTTCAGCCTCAGTGTATCTATCACGTATTAGTGGAAAGAGGCAATGAGAGAGGCCACCTCTCTTAGAACTTGAATCCCAAAGTAAAAATAAGTCATCTTTGTCCTAAGGCTCTCCTTCATGGCTTTGCTTTTGTTGTTGTTGTTTGTTTTGTTTTGTTTTCAGAATAACATTTACAACTTCTGTGAGAGAAGAGGACCCTGTATTATACATTCAAGTATTACTCAAGTCTAAACTGAGTGGAAATTGGAACAGGGCTATACTCTCAGAAAAGATAATCCTGATTAAATTATTTCATAGTCTTTAGAAGCCTGCTTCTCCTTCATAAGGTTGTTTTTCTCCATCTCCCTGCTTCCAGACACAAGTGTGCACACACACACACACACACACACACACACACTCCCCAGTGATGGTGCTTAGTAAATGTATAATTGATGAGTAGATATCCATAGTTTTAAAAATTCAAATCCTGGGCCCAGTTTGCATGCACCAGGATCCCATATGGGCACTGGTTCTAATCCTGGTGGCCCTGCTTCCCATCCAGCTCCCTGCTTGTGGCCTGGGAAAGCAATTGAGATTGGCCCAGGGCCTTGGAACCCTGCACCCATGTGGGAAACCCGGAAGAGGCTCCGGGCTCCTGGCTTCGGATTGGCGCAGCACTGGCCATTGCACTCATTTGGGGAGTGAGTCAACAGATGGAAGATTTTAAAAAGAAGAAAAAAAAATCAAATCTCAAGATCAACAACTAAAACTCTCTTCAAACTTTTTTTAAGTTACGTTTATTTTTATTTGAAAGGAAGATTTTACAGAGAAAGAAGGAGAGATAGAAGGAGGGTTTACATCTGCTGGTTCACTCCCCAAATAGCTGTAATGGCTGGGGCTGATCTGATCTGGAGCCAAAGAGGCTCCTCTGGGTCTCCCACATGGGTGCAGGTGCCCAAGGGCTTGAGTCATCCTCCACCGCTTTCCCAAGCTTTAAGCAGGGAGCTGAATCAGAAATGGAACAGCTGGCACATAAACCAGTGCCCATATGGAATGCCAGTGCTTTCAGGCAGAATATTATGCTATGCTACTGCACCAGCCCTTCCACACACCCTTAGAACGCCACCAACGGCAATGCCACATGACTCCATTTACTGAAATGGAGGTGACTGTTCCACAAACAGAATCCTACTGTGCTACGCAAAGCTCAAGTTCAGTGGGGTGGGAAAGAGTTTTCCTTGGGAAGCCATCTCTTGCCTTGCTTCATATTGTATCACAATATTCCTCTTTGCATTACTTATCTCTTCTGCTCACCTCTGCGAGCTTATCTAATATATAAAGAAATGTCCTACAGATTGAAGAAGGGCCTAACTAATCCAAGAACTCCATCAATTTACAGTGGACCTGCTCTGGGACTCTGGTCCCATCTTTAATGTTTCCAAAGAGCTTTCAATTCCCAGGATACCTTTCTGGCATAGAGGTGAAAACAGATAAAGGTCATTTTTAAAAATGAGGTTTATTTAATTGTTTTTTACTTGAAAGAGTTAGAGAGAGAGAAGCATATAGAGAGGGCAAATGGCGGCAATGGCCAGAACTGAGCTGGTCCAGAGCAGGGAGTCGGGAGCTTCTCCCAGTGGGTTCAGGGAAGATGTGCGTTAGCAGGACTATGCAGTGGAACTGTGACTGAGGCCTGGCACTCCAAAATGGGCTGCAGGGGCCCAAGTAGGGTCTTTACCTCTGCTCCAAGTTCCTACCCTACAAGATATTTAATCAGTACCTCCCACTGAAAGTCTCCAAAAGGTTTCAGGAAAAAAATCATCTCAGTGCAAAAAGACAAAAATAATCTTCTGTTAAGAAACTGTAATACTTTCAGGAACACAGACTCAACTTTGAATTAGTTCTTTGATCTATATTTTTCTGTATTGTGGGCCACGATAAATACTTGAATAACTACAATATTGATCTTATCGGTCATTGGAATCATCAATCGTTTTCTTCTAGCTGAGGTACAGAAGATGCTTCAATAGTAATAGAATTTCCAAATCATGATAGGCAAGTCTCTGATTGTTTGAGTTATCAAAATAAAACTCGAAATCATAGGTAACAGACTCTCTTATAGTTGGCCAGTAGACAGGGCTGGATTGGAAAATTCTTTTATGTGGCGTCCAGTGATTTCCAAAAACAATTTAATTTCAAACAATGATCCTTCCAGATGTGACATCTGGGTAGGATCATTTGAGAACACCAGAAGCCAATGTGAAACACCGATGACTTCTAGATGATCCAACCCTGTGATGACCAAAGTTTAAGATTTCACAGCTGGTCCTGTGCATTACCCTGCACCTGTGGGACGTACCGGTGGGAATGAAGATTCCACTGGAGGGAAGCTTGCTTCAAATGGCTGAAGGCAACATTCCGGCACAGCGAATAAGTCTGCCGTGGTCTGGCCTTGTGTCCTGTTCTCCTTTTCTTTCAGAACTTTCTGCCTTCCCTGCCCCCAGCTCTTTGCTTCCACACCTTTCTACGATTGCAAGGGCACTGGAAGAATCCTATACACTCCTTCCTAGAAACGTGTCTCCTGTGGGACTATTTGCATCCCAGCTGCGGTTCTGGGGAAGGGATAGTGTATAATCCAAAGGAATGAATTCATGAGATAGGTAGGGGGGCAGAGAGGGTTTTTCCCCTCTTCTCCCAAGCCCCAGCCACTGCCTAATTCTCTGGGTGTGGAGGATACAGCGTGGCCCCACACTAACCCTGATAATCTTGTTTCTAAATTCTAAATAGCCCTTTTCTCATCCCAGCCAAGGAGAGTGCCTGCCAAAACCCCACCGGTCGCCCCTCGTTACCGTCCACAGTGGCAGTGTGGTGTGACACCGGGCCAGAGGACCCGCTGCCTGCAGTATAAAGCAGATTTTCCACTTAACCAATGCGGACCTTGGTTTCCTGGCTTGTGGAATGGGGATGTTGAGTTTTGCCCAGATAGTTACTATAAGAATAAATAACAGGACCTACTTAGGTGCTAGTTATGGTTAAGTACAATGCTCCCTGGTCAGATATCCTTGAATATTGCAGCATTAAAGATTTTGGAAAGAGGCTATTCTCTTCATTTTGCCTGTTGTGCCACCCAGGCATTTGCATTCTGGGATATGCCCACCCCTTTACCAGGATTCACCTGCACATGGAGCACTCACCCAGACACCTGCGTCGTTTAGCCCAATGGAAGAGATCAGACATGTGGAAAACCTACAACTGCAGCTAAAGCCTAGATCCTTACTATGTAATTTTGTCATTCAGAAGCAGTAACACTCACTGATGGAATGACCCCCACAAACAGCTGTATCATCACATGAGTCCCTTCAGATGCTGCCGAGATGCACTTTGCTGTAACAGCCTGGGAGCCCTGCTGGGAGTTTGAAAGCAAAACTGATTCTGGAAGGAAACAGCCTGGGGCTCCCTCCTGGCCACTGTGCACATGTGGTCATGGAAGTCAGCCTCAGGGACCTCAGACTAAAGATGGACTCTGAGCTCTCCTCCAGTTGTGTCAGAGTGGCCACCTGCTTCAATTCAGAGTGAGTGTGAGTGTCCAGTGTGGTATGTCTGACGTGTCACTGCCTGCCCTGCGTTTTCTCTAGAAGACCACCTCTACCATCTGCCAAGGTTTTCAATCCCATAGAGTCTGTGCCATTAGCCTGAAAAGCACTGGTTGCACAGCAGAGCGTGGTGACATGGAGTCACTAGATGGATGACAGAACCCTTGCTAGCCATTGGCACATGAAGTTTGAGCCCCCTTAGAACTGAGATGAGTCAGATCTCTGCTGCTGGTGAGAGTGAGCAGTTGGGGGAGCAGCCTGCTCAGAGTCACAGACTCAAATGCTTGCAAGGACAGAGCCAACCACGTTGGAGGCCATAGGGAGGACCAGGGCCCAAGTGTCCCAGTGAGCAAGTCCCCCTGCAGATATTCATTCAAGACTTGTGACAACATTGGACTGGCCGAAGAAAACATGCCTGTTGGCTGACATGTCTGCTGGCCCCACCTTACACTCTGTGATCCAGGAGGGATCATCCACAGGGGCAGCCCTGGGCAGATACACTGGGGGTGCTAAGGAGACAGTGACAGATGGGGGACAGATCAGGGCTCGTGCTCCTCAGGCTGGAGCATGTGTCATTCTGCTCATCCACCAGCGACCACCTGCAGCCCCTGGGGAGACTCCACAGCAACCAGGTCATTGTGTGAGACAGATACCTCGAGGCCAAACCCACAGAAGTCTGCATGTGGAAGAGGTTCTGTGCATGCTGACCTGATGTCTCCCAGGGCCAGAGCTTAGAGGGAACAGAGTCCCCCAGTAAAGGCGGTGAGTCCATCAGGAGCACTGCCACTGAGTGAGCCGCCACTGGGGTCTGTCCATGGCACAGCACCTGGCACAGTGCCCACCGGAAGTAAACATTTCCTGAGCAGCCAACCATGAATTGCAATAGCAACACCTACAGCTTTTCCTTGGGGTGCATTTCCACTTAGTGGGGGTTCTCTACTCTGTTGGTCTCAGCCGCATTTGCAGTAGGCATCTCCGGTTTGTGTACACAAAGTGATTACATTATCATTGGTCCGAATCCCATTGTCTTATTGAGAAGCATCTGATTAAACCCAGATGTTGGTAGACTGGACCTATTGTGCTGGGCTCCAGTCATGCCCATGTAAGAGACAGCCTTTCAGGGTCAGCTGCAGGTCCAGTTATAAGATAGGTAAAAATTGTCGTGTCTGTATCTCCCATGGTCACTGTTTTTTTTTTTAAAGATTTATTTTTATTATGTTTTTATTGGAAAGGCGGATATAC